CCTTGTGCCTTCTGTTCTGGCTGTTGGGAAGGCTGCCCCAGATCTCTGTTTTTCTCTTTTCCTCATCCCCTCCTCGAAGTCTTTGCTCAAATGTAACTTTGTCAGCAAAGTGATAATCCTATTTAAAATTACCACCCACCACATCTCATCTTTTTTTTTTTCTCTTAGCATTTATGATCTGATATGCATTTTATTTATGTAATGCCTGTTTCCCACTATGAGAAGGTAAGCTTCATACCAGGAATGTTTATTTCTTTATTCATTGTTTTATTTTCGGAACCCACTATAGTGCCTGTCACAAAATAGGCACTCAATAAATAGATCATTTAATAATGAATACATGACTACTATCCCTCTTTGTAGCTAGGTAATTTTCTAGGTATTGAACAAGACAGAATTCTCTGCCCTAATAAATTTTGCTTTTTTAGGACTACGGGCTTAGAGATCAAATTCTTCTCTAGAGCAGGGGTCTGTAAACCTCTGAGCCAAATTTTGCCCACCTCTTTCTTTTTGTGCTGTCCACGAGCTCAGAATGTTTTTTACATTTTTAAGTAGGGGAAAAATTGAAAAAAGTATTTTGTGATACCTGGAAATTTTAATAAATTCAAATTTCAGTGCCCATAAATAATTTCATTGGAACACAGTCGTGCCCTTTCATGTAATATTGTCTAGAGCTGCTTTCCCACTTTAAAGGCAGAGTGGAGTGGTTGCAACGGAGACTGGAGGGCCCGCAAAGCTTAAAATATGCACTATCTGGTCTTTTTGTAGACTCTGCTGTAGATCTAGATGAATGAGAATTTTAGCAACATGAGATTCATTTATCATATCTTGATTGGAACCAATTACTCAAACATTTTCAGCTCATGAACAAAAAGCCCTTCTACTTCCTGGATTGCAATAGTTTTGGCCCAAACCCCTTTTTCTTCTGATAAATATTTCCATGGTTCTTTCCCTTCATCCTCCTTCCCCTCCCCTCGATCCTTGTTAATTTATCACCCTGTTTGAGCTCATCTCTACTAGCATAGGGACACAGGGATGGCTGAAGTGGTATTGTCATCTAGGTTTAAGTAGGAAACCTAGTATGGATGCCCAACCTTTCCAAAGGTTGGTTTGAGTGAGAATCAAAGGAAAAAAGCAGCTGGCCCAAGAATAGTTGGTTGAAATCCTATTGAAAACCACAGAGGTCTACAGCCATGCCACCCTGAACAAGCCCGATCCTGTCTGATCTCGGAAGCTAAGCAGGGTCGGGCCTGGTTAGTACTTGGCTGAGAGACCACCTAGGAAGATCAGGTGCTGTAGGTGTAAAAAATAAATAAATAAATAAGAGATTGTAAACTGACAAGGTCCTTGCAATCTGTGGGGTCAACCAAGGGTTGCTTCACCTAAAAAAAAAGAAAAAAGAAAAAGAAAAAGAAAACCAGAGAGAAGAGGCTCTGGCCCTAGTTGTGCCTCTTCAGAAGACAAAGGAGCCAGGCTACAGGTGCCCAGAATTTTGACAGTGTCCCTAATGTAAGATGGGGAGGTGGAAAACATGACATGAACCAGAATGTCTCAAAACGAGCCCAATTCCCCTTTGGCTTAGTTGAGCAACCCTGTTATACCTAAAGTAGGAACTGCAGCTACAGAGGATGTTCTTGTGGGCATTGAACTCAAAGCCATTGACCTTGATGACCACGTCGCAGAGCTTGCCCTCTAGCCTAAGCTCGTTGAAGATCTCACAGGTCATCGCACTCATCTTCCTCTCCATGTGAGGCTGGTGGAAACGTGTGGAGGCCGCCGTGCTCTCCATCTCCATGGCACCCTGGGACCAGCCGACAGAGGCTGTTCTCCTAGGGTGTCGGGGAGGGTTGTGGGGGGCCCCTTTAGCCAGCTGTCGCTCCCTTTCCTTACTACATCTTTCATATAGGGCCCACCAGGCAGCCCAAGTTCCAGAATCCTGGGCCCGCAGTGAGATCACTTAGGATTGTGCTCTCAGGTTCTGGAACTCTCTCCTGTCCTTGTCCTCCTTCCTTATCCCCTCCCCCACCACACTATTAGGCTAAAGATCACCCGCACCTCCTTCTTTGCCCTTGCACTCAGAGTAGGACCGTGACCACCAATACTGTATAAAAGTTTTTATTAATTCTGGTTCCTGTTGCCCACTTCGGTGATGCCCAGTTCCATATCCCTGTATCATCTATCGACCTTCCTCCACTGCTCCACACTTGGCTCCCCAGACACAGAGTTTAAGGAAACCAAGTCAGAGAAGGCAGAAGGGAGAAGTAAAACTGATAAGAATTTCATTCTGGCCCAACTGTCCAGGGCCTTCCTGCCCTCTGGACATAAGGGAAATCACTCGTTTTCTTCTGATGAGGAGTGGGCCCAGTTAAGAAAGCACCTTCTGGATGTTTAACAGAACTCACATTATGGCCCTGTCATATCTCCTCCTATCCTGTGACATTTTTGTCATGCAAACTGTAAGCCTGGGAATGACCACACTTGCTAGGGTTTTTGCTCTAGAAAGAGTAGCATCCAGTAACCCCAAGTCTTTGGGACCCTCATCCTCCTCAATACAGAGCCCTTAACAAGGGTCTTGCCCTAGCGCGCCGCAGAGCCCTCCCATGGCCACCAGTCTCTGGGCGCCGGGTCCTGCAGTCCCGCGGCCCCAGGCGGCTACGACGCATGCGCAGTGCGGTCGCAGGGAGGGGGGGCGGTCGTTGTTCCAGCACCGCCCACCCAGCTGCGAGCACGATGGCGGAAGAGGTGAGGTGGGTGGATGCTTCTGGAGTGCCGCGGGCCCCGACCCCCCGGGCGTTCCGAGGCCGCCAGCGGGCCGTCTCGGCCCGGCTGCACCACCCCGGGCAGTAGGCGCACCTGGCCTGGCCGGAGCCCCTGCTCCGCCCCTCGCACCCTTGCCCGGCCTCGCAGCGTTGCCCGAGCGAACCCCGGTCTCCCCTTGGGCCCAGCGCGGTGCCGGGGTCAGTCGTTCTCTCGGGTTTCGGGACAGGTGAGCATCCTGATGAAGGCCACGGTCCTGATGCGGCAGCCCGGGCGGGTGCAGGAGATCGTGGGCGCCCTTCGCAGGGGCGGGGGAGACCGCTTACAGGTACCGTCGGGTCGAGGTCGGGCCGGCGGGTCGCGGGCGGCTGGGGAGTCGTCCTGTCCATGTTCCTTCCCGCGTTGCTGCAGACACCTCCAAGCTCTTAGCCCCCAGAAATGGCCAAGGGCCTGAGTGCAAGCAGATTGGTTCGCCTGTTTTGTCTTGGGGGAGAGCTCATCTGCCCTAAAACCTAGATTTCTCAGTAAGGTTATACTGCTTCCTCTAATGAGACAGAAAGAACCCGACACCAGGCCCTAGGGCCTTATTTTCTACTCTAGCCCAGGTCAGCAGGCTCCCCCAGAAGTGGTGGATATGGAGATGGGCCTTAAAGGTGGACACACTCTAGGAAGCACCCTAGGGCATTGAGATGGGTGCTAGTGAAAGAGCTGCAGGGATCCTGATTCTTCGATCCCCACCCCTGTCCCCAAGATGCTGGGCCTCCTCAGGATTAGCACTGTACTAACTAGGATTAGTTCTTCCTTCTCTCTCTCTCTCTAGCCGGCCCTAACTCTCCCTGCTTTGCCCACAGGCTGGGGACTGAGCTCTTTGACTTTCATAATTATCCTCCCAGGCTAACACAGGGCCACACTGGGAGGAGGAGCCTGTCTAGGCATCATCTCTCTTTTGCATTTTAGGTCATTTCTGATTTTGACATGACCTTGAGCAGGTTTGCTTATAACGGAAAGCGATGCCCTTCTTCCCACAGTAAGTCACATACTAGCTTTCTTTGTTGGACTTGACCAGATGGTGGCTTCTAAAGGGCAAGTGAAAGGAGCTTTGTATTTTTGCAGATATTCTGGATAATAGCAAGATCATCAGTGAGGAGTGCCGGAAAGAGGTGGGTTACCCTTTTTATTTGCTCAGAAATAGGTATCATGAATTACTTCAAATGGTTCTTGGTTAGGACCAAAGATTCCAGGATAGAGATCTTAGAAGATTAATTTTTTAAAAAATTGTTTAAAAAAATAAAAAAATTAAAAAATATTGTTTTGCTCAGGTGGACCTAGTCTTAATACACTGGGACAGCTTTGCCTTAATGGCTAAGACATATGATGACTGATGGTCGGAGTATAGATGTTATGCTCACCGCTAGCTATAGAGTCTACAAGAGACTGCAGTGTTGTTTAACCCTCCCACAACTCCAAGAGGTGGATAGAACCATTATTGTCTCCATTTAACAGATGAGAAAACAGGTTTGGAGAAGTTGAGCAATTTACCCAAGGTCATATAGCCAAGATACAGAGTTTGCCTTTCCTATAGATCTGATTCTGTCCCCAATTGTTTCCACTACATTAGTCCTTGATAATATAATATTCTTGCTAAAGCAACAAGTGTCAAGAAAGACTTCTGAATTAATGTCAATATACAATAACTCCCATTTCCATAAGGTCCATACAAATATTATAAAGTGACTCCTGTAGCCTTGGAGTTTGTTTTACTGTGCTCCATGTAGTTCCCATCAGTGTCCTCTTTGCCAGAGCAGAGCCGTGCTTGCTGTGTGTTTCTCTGCAGGTGGCCGAGCTCTTTCTGCTGAATGACTACATCCTTTAGTTCTACGTTGTTATGAAAATCACTAAATTGCATACTGAGTGGTATGTTGGTCTGTCGTATTGGTCAGCTCTTCCAATAGTCATGATTACTTGATGTTAAGATGGGCAGTGGATTATAGATAATTCTTATATTTCTAAAACCTGTCTCTCTGGGGAATGCCGCTTTTAGCGAAAGGTAGGTTCTGGCTCCACCACTGATTGCCTTACACAAGTCACTTTTTTGGGTTCCTCACGTCCCTGATCTTATCAGCTCCTGGGAAGCCGTGTCCACAAATAAGACAGTGGGTTTGATTGCCCTCTCTAGGGTAAAGAAGCTAGAGAAAACTAAGGTTTTTGGTGTTGATGAGATCCTGAAAAAATTAATAAAGCAAAGTTTATGAAACTTCTTTCTTTTAAAAAAATTTATTCATCCACTGAGTTATATTATACTTTTAGGGAAATGTTCTTACACCCAAAAAACCGCACACATTGAGAACCTTGATACATTTCACGAGCTTTCTGCCTTTGTCAGTGTGTGATCTTTGTATTTAACCCTCTTTTGGACCGATGGTCCAAAAGGGACTCCGTTTGACCTCGTGATATTTCAAGACCATGCGTATATTAAAATTAAAATTCTTTATTCAGTCAAGTCCCATTTTTATTGGGCACTGTTACTGACTGTCCCTATGTGACACATGATCCCTCCCCAGAGGGCGGAAAGTTCTGGCACGCGGAAGGAAATCTTAGCCAGAGGAGGCACCTATAGGTGCTCATGAAGTAGTTCACTTGACGTTGGCAGTGGGATGGAGTCAGCCATCCACTAACATGCTGTGTCCCAAACTACAGTTTTCTAGTTCCACTTTTGTGATTTTGTTTTTGTTTTTGTTTTTTTTGCTGTATCTGTGTATGACTTTTAGTAAATATTTCTCTTTGAATTGACCTTTTAAAATTCGAATGCAGTTAACTTACAAAAGAAACAATCTGAAAGCATGTTTGATGTGCTGTTTTTTTCCTAATATACATTAAAATGAATCCACAAATACTAAAAGTGTTTATCCGTGTATTTCCTAAAGTTAGCTTGCTTACCACCTGAAAAAGTATACCACATATTGAGACATAGCATTAAATCAGTTCTTACTGATTAAGCCCTGATGACTGAGCTAGTTAATAACAACAACAAAATCCCACTAACCCTGTTGTCTGAAGCAAAACCTCTTTATTTCGTTGATTCTTAGACCCCACTCTTGGGTGAGAGTGCAAAGGGATGACCAGCTCTGCATATCCGGTCACTCCCTTACATGAGGTCGAGTCTTCTAGGTGATTTTTTCTCATGCTAAACTGTAGGACTTTGCTGGGGAAAACTTGATAGACTAATGGCTTTTCTCTTCATTTCGATGCCCCAGCTGAAAGCGCTCCTTCACCACTATTACCCAATTGAGATTGACCCACACTGGACCATCAAAGAGAAGTTACCTCATATGGTAGAATGGTAAGTGATGGTGGTAGTGAGAGCTCCTGGCCCTTGTGATGGAGGGAGGCATAGTCTTGCTTGAGCTTTGATGATGAGATGACAGGCTTCCTTACCTTAGTGGATGCTTAAGTGAATGCCACAAGGCCCAGCTATTAGAACAAATTGTCTAGACACACCCGGGGCTACCCGCGGCTATTGCTAGAGTGGGGGCCCACCGAGAATGCTTGGAATGAGTTAGAAGCCCCTTGGGGGAATAATTGCTCTGGGGAGATAACCCTCCTATAGAAACCAATATCACTGGACAGAGCCTCTGCTCTCCA